TACCATATACGTACATAGGTACAGAAGCTATACATAGTCTAACACCCTCCCTCAATCTTAGCCACTTTCTAAAGAACTGAGAAGGGTAAGATTGCGCCTACAAGCCTCAAACTGTGGCAGCGGTAAAGGCTTAGTGAAGATGTCTGCAAGTTGATCCTTAGATGAGATAAACTTGATCTGGAGTTGCTTCTGTGATACACGTTCCCGTACAAAGTGATAGTCAACTTCAATGTGTTTCATTCGGGCATGAAATACTGGATTTGCAGAAAGGTATGTAGCACCGGTGTTATCACACCAAAGAATAGGAGGCTGTGGTTGAGACAAACCCAACTCCTGAAGCAAAGACTGCACCCAAATAATCTCTGCAGTAGCATTAGCCACAGCCTTGTACTCAGCTTCAGTACTGCTACGTGACACAGTAGCCTGTTTCCGAGCACTCCAGGCGATCAAATTAGAGCCAAAGAATACTGCATAACCCCCCGTGGATCGCCTGTCATCTGGGCTACCAGCCCAATCTGCATCAGAGAAGGCCGAAAGGACCCGAGAGGAAGTCGGCCGAATATGCATACCAAATGTCAGGGTGAACTGAACATAACGAAGAATGCGTTTAACAGCAGCCCAATGAGTATCTCTGGGAGCCTGAAGATACTGACAAACCCTGTTAACAGCATAAGAGATATCTGGTCTCGTGATCGTCAAGTACTGAAGTCCACCAACAATGCTCCTGTACTCTGTGGCATCCACAGGAGACAAAAGCTCACCATCAACAGCTGTTATCTTGTCGGTAGACGACATGGGTGTGGTGGTCGGTTTGCACTTCAGCATGCCAGCTCTCTGTAACAACTCCAAGGAGTACTTCTTCTGCGTAAGGACAAGACCAGTAGCACGAGAAGTGACCTCAACTCCAAGAAAGTAGTGAAGCTTCCCAAGATCTTTGACCGCAAAATCAGCACCAAGAGAGCAGACAAGAGCATCAGCAGCATACTGAGAAGAGCTGACAAGGATAATATCATCGACATATACCAAAAGATACATAGTGACTTCTGGCTTCTGTAGAAGAAATAACGAAGTGTCAGCAGTAGACGGCACAAACCCATGAGCACGAAGGGCAGAGGCAAGGCGGGCATGCCAGGCACGAGGAGCTTGCTTCAAACCATATAGTGCTTTGGAAAGACGACAGATATAGTCAGGACGATCAGGATCAGAGAAACCAGGCGGTTGTTTCATATAAACCTCTTCCTCCAAGAATCCATGTAGAAAAGCATTCTGCACATCAAGTTGACGAAGTGACCAACCACGAGAAACAGCAATTGAGAGAAGAAGCCGAATAGTGGTAGGCTTGACGACAGGACTGAAGGTGTCCTCATAGTCAAGACCATGACGCTGCCGAAAACCGCGAGCAACAAGTCGCGCTTTGTAACGCTCAATAGATCCATCCGAATGCTTCTTCACTTTGAATACCCATTTTGAGTCAATAACATTTACCCGTGGTGGTGGAGGAACGAGAGTCCATGTCTTGTTACGAAGAAGAGCATGAAACTCCTGCTCCATAGCCTCTCGCCAATGTGGAATGCGCAGGGCAGCCTGATATGAGCAAGGCTCAGAAGATGGATCCGCAACAGCAGCAGCCAAACAAGCAGCCAACCAAGCAACCGTACCATCCTTACGTTCCTTAGGTTTGAAAATGCCACTGCGACTGCGTGTATGTGGTCGGGACATAGGAACCACCGAGGTCGACGGAGCAGCCTGCAACGGGCTGGAGGACGGCGACGTTGACGAGTCAGCCGGTGACGAGGAGCCAGTCACGGTAGCCTCGGACTCGGTTGGCAAAGAAGGCCGACCCACCGGCGAAACCGGCAGAGCAGACGAAGCAGCTGGCGACTCCGGCATCACAGACCGGGCCGATGGCGAGCTCGGCATAGTGGGCCGTGGCGCGGCCGGTGTCGCGGGCCGATCCGCTGATGAAGGCGATGTGAGGACCCGAGCCGCGGGCGAAGACGGCGTGACGGGCCGAGCCGCAGACGAAGACGGGTGACGGGCCGAGCCGCTGGCGACTCGGCGGCCGCTGGTGAAACGGACCGAGCAGTGGAGATGCTCGGCGCGACGGGCTCGTCGGGTGACCATGCATGGGCACGCGAATCGATGCCATGCAACATAGGGCGATCGACGTGCCCACCAGAAGACGACGATGATGATGTTGAATCCTCCAACAGCTCCAAACGAGCTCCACGTCCGGTTCCTGCACCATGGTTAGGTAACAGCAAAGGAGAGTATGCAACATCATCAAATTGGTCAGAAGCAACAGAGGATGAATGCAGGGATGGTGGTTCGACAGTGGACACAGGAAGGTTGGCAAAGGGAAAAACATGCTCATCAAACACGACGTCCCGAGATATATAGACACGATTAGTGGGAACATGAAGACATTTGTAACCTTTATGAAGAGAGCTATAGCCAAGAAAAACACACTTCTTAGAACGAAACTCAAGCTTGCGCTTGTTATATGGACGAAGATGCGGCCAGCAAGCACACCCAAATACCTTGAGAAAGGTATAATCAGGTTGTTCATTAAGGAGAACCTCAATGGGAGTCTTCATGTTTAAAACACGAGTAGGAGTACGGTTGATGAGAAAGCATGCAGTGGTGAAAGCATCACTCCAAAACCGAAACGGAACAGATGCATGGGCCAAAAGAGTAAGACCAGCTTCAACAATATGACGATGCTTACGTTCGACTGAACCATTCTGCTGATGTGTATGTGGACATGCTAAACGATGAGCTATCCCAAGCGACTGAAATAAAGAGTTGAGGTTGCGATACTCGCCCCCCCCAGTCTGACTGGACATGAACAATTTTGTGCTTGAGAAGACGTTCAACATGTTTTTGAAACTGAACAAAAATATCAAACACATCAGATTTGCGTTTAATAAGGTAAAGCCAGGTAAAGCGACTAAGGTGCGCTCAAGGATGGTCCAGGCCTCATGAGACGTCTTCACGAAGACAACAAGGCCGGCAACTGTCGGCAAGAGCGACCCCTGGATGGAGGAGAGGTTCGCCTGGTCCTGCCCCGTCCAGACACGATGGGCCGGATTGTAGACCGGACCGTGCACGCTGTCGACCAGCGCGGGTGGGCAGGGAAGCGATCCGTCGACGTAGCCTAGCAGGTAGTGACTCCCCAAGAGCGGGAGAACCTGCGCACGCCAGAAGATGTAGTTGTCGGCGGAGAGCTTGATGGTGATGAGATGACCGAAGTGAAACGGCGGCGGCGAAGACAATCCCATCGAGGAGGCTGCCTGGGGTGCAAACACCATGGAGGCAGCCGGAGGCACCGAAGCCGATGCGGGAGGAGGCGGGACCGCAGCCAGGGCGGGCGCCGCAAAGCTCGCGGCCGGTGCAGACGCCGCAAGGCCCGCGGCCGGGGCGGACGCCGCCAACCCCGCCAGCGGGGCAGTGTGATCCGCTTGCGGCAGGAGCGGCGGGACGACGCCTGCGGAGTCCGCAGCGGACGGCGGCGCCGCGGTGTGGACCACGAGGTCACGCCCAAGCGAGGGCGCCGGCGGCGTGGAGAAGACGGAGCCGATGCTCCTTGTCCCGATCGGAGCCGGAACAGAGACGACATCGAGCGGGAGGTTGAGCAGAGCCGCAAGAGAGGCCGAGAGGAAGCCCGCAGCAGTGGAACCGGTGGTGGCGGCGCTCGACATGGCGGCGGCGGCGGTGAAGGCGGCGGCGGCTGCGGCGGCGGTGCGGGTATTAGGGTTTAGAAGCGGAAGCGATCGTAACCTAGCTCTGATACCATGTAAGACAATAAGTTTTGGGGAACCAGCACAACCCTCTAGGGGTGTCTTATCTCATTATATATAATGGTTGTGTTACAATATGTACCATATACGTACATAGGTACAGAAGCTATACATAGTCTAACAAGTGGTCATCACATTCTCTAAGCAACAACACTTTAGAAATCTAAATATCAAAAGACAAAAGAATTTCAAGAAATTATCTCTATGTCCAACAAAAACACCATCCAACTATTCTTCGTCTGAGAACAGGGCAATGGTAAACTCCTAATTTTGGAACTGGGTTAACAAAGGGCTGCAACAAAAATTACGTAGCCAAACAAAGCGTGTTATTCATATAGGCTACAATTTATGCATGGTTGCATAGAATTTAACAAAATGTGATGAGCAACAAGTTTGTCATACCAATTACATAGCTTTAGTTTTATATATCTATATAAGTAATATTCACATCTTATAACCCATGGCTATGATGTTAGATGCTATAAATTATGCAGCATGCGGTTTCACCTCGATCATTACGAGTGTTCATCTATTCTATCTGAAGATCTGAATAATAACGAGAAAGCCTATTCCACATATCTCTTGTCTATTTTTTACGGATGTGTTACCAAAATCTCAACAATCTGAACAGTTCAGACTCACCATCTTCGTTCTGATTCACGGGTAGAAACACTAAGATGCCAGTTTTTTTTTCATTGATCAACAACATTACTAGGTGATATCAATGCCACAACACCAAGATTTGGTAATATTCAACGGCCACAATATCAGTCACAACAATTTCCTGCCGTACTAGACGGGCAGTCATTAATTATAATATATATAGGTTTTGATCTGATATAGCTCAATCCCACTCTCACTTCTGCATGGGCACATAGCTATATATCTTGTGCAAATATTCAGATACGATGGTCGACGGCGCATGGTAATGTTGAACTTGATTCAATGTACACGTGCAATGTACGTTAATTTAGAAGTATATTAAGTGCATGCGGATATTATGTAGGATATTATCTGTGTGTTATTATATGATTAGCATTATATTTGGCATGAAATTAACTGCACGCTAAACTTGTTGAACGCTCGACATTGAAGCAGTCTAGGTCGTTGGATTGACTTGATTTGATGACTGAGATTAATTGGATCTGCCCCTTTGGGTCTTTTTATATTGATATAAATATAGATAGATATACATATAGATTACTGTGCGTAATTGCAGAATCCATAGCTGCACTTCTTGTTGCACTGGTTAGAGCAGGTGCCGCAGTTCTTCTCGTTGGAGAGGAGATCCACACAGCGTCCGCCGCAGCATGTCCGGCCATGCTTGCACGCTTTGTTGCAGCCGCCGCAGTGTTGGACGCTAGCGGCAGTGTCCACGCACTGGCCGCTGCAGCACGCCGTCCCCGTCGCAAGGCATGCTTCAGTCGACTTCTTGGAGCAAGCATACGCTGTCAGAGGCAGCTGGACGGTGCCGCCAACAAGCAGGAAACTGCTCCTCCTTGCCGGCGGACGGAGGCTTGCACTGGTGCCGGCCGTGGCTGGAATAAGGGCACCGGCAGTGGCCAGCACCGTAATGAGGAGAAGCAGCGCGGCGCTCGCCATTGTGGAGACAAGGAGAAGCAATGCAAGTGTTTGGCTTATTGGCTCGTGGCTGTTAATTAAGGTAGCTCAACTGCTCAAGGATGTGTGTGTGTGTGTGTGTGTGTGTGTGTGTGTGTGGAGGAATGCCTCTCAAGGCTGAAGCATCACGCTTTATATAGAAGAGAGCATGGGAAGGAAGTCAGCGGGTTAGCTCTGCTCTCTTAAGGTTGACTTTTCATGTAAATTCGACTTCAAGAGACGCCAAGAAGCTACTTTTGTCCGGAGCAAAAATGTTTGGAAATAAACGAAAGGCTTCAGGTACAACGTCTGTATCAAGCGTGGAGGTTTCAGAATGACTAAATTAAAGGTTGATCAATCAATACTCCAGGTACTTGTTAAGCAACCAGTTCACAACAATAGCTAAGAACAGAGAATGGCTGCAAAATTGTCGCAGTACCAAGTGTAAGTAAAGTAAGCTAAGCTCGACGAAGCACTAATTCTGCATAAGTATGACACGGGATGCAGTGAACCAAATGTCGCCCGTCCACGCATGCTGGACGTGTTGGGCGATCATAAGCTGAAGACTTAAAATAAGTTAAGCCTATGATTAAGAATGATGGAATTAACCCTCAAGCGGATGCACAGGGCGGTGGCTTCACATGTTACGCCTCCCAAATTGTGCACAACGGCGAGACTATCAAGTTATCCTCTGTTTCAGGCATCTGTGGATCCAACCATTCGTCATACCGACTCGACTCCTATCTACAGGAATTTTTTTAACAAACAACTAGAGGCGCAGTGGCTTCATCGTTCTGAAGAAAGCACTCAAACACCGAGACCATTCCGTAGCATGGAGGGTGCTTTGCCTTGGTGCTTCTGTGGTCACCGCGGCCGTGATGACGGATCTGGCCATCATGGCCTATCCGAGGGAAACCCTTGATTTTGTGTGATCAGACGATAGGGCCGCCTTGGCATCATATTCCCTCTTGGGGGCTTAGTCTTTGGAGCTTGATCGGCATCGACCAGCGAGACCAATGGATGGTGGCGGATTTGGCGTCTAGTCTTCTTGTAATGATAGGAGCAATGTCTGTGAGGCCGCGATGGTTGAGGTAGCCGGCTCTTCTCTAGCGTGTCCACGGGATTGTCTGCTATTCTCCAGCGTGTTCACCGTATTGTCTTGGTTTGTTTCTTGTTGTGAAGTTGAAACTGTAGCGGCGGTGTCCGTGTGGGCTGTGACGTATGATGACTGCCTGCAGGTGGTTCATTTGGTGATCTTCTGTGGCGCTAGTCGTGCCTGGTTTGTCCTTTGTAGTTTTTCGCCATGATCGGAGTTGCCTTGTCTGATCGCAGGTGACTGAGATCTGGTGCGGATCTTCATACAAGTGTACATGGTCTCTATAGTTAGGGCTGAGTCGACGAACGCCAACGACGAAGTCGGAGTCATTTGATCAATGTTTAGAGATGGCGATGACGCCTTCTAAGGGAGGAGTGATGATGATGGCACATGTGTGTTGTCTCGGCGAGGCCCTCTTTGGAGTGGGGTGCGTGGGGTATCGTGTATGTGTGCGCTCAACTCAGCGGTTGTGATAGTTTTCACCCTGTTTATCATAAAGCTAGGTAATCTGGTTTTAGCCCTAACCGAGCAAATGCATGAGTCCCACCATTTCAAAATAAAATATGTTTCCCTAAAAACTCACGACAAAATCAAAGTTAATATCAACGGTACAAAAGAAAGATAGCAGTATGTATCATATGAAATGTTATTTTACTTGAGCACTATTAGCACCTCTTAAGTAAGTTGAGCCGCCTCCTATAACGGTGTTCGATGATACCATCAATTCTCTCTATTCTTTGATTAACTCAATCCATACTATGAAATTTAAACTATATTTACGTCAATAAAATCATTTATGGTCTTCCATTGTGGGTGTATCTATAATTCTATATTGCTTATAGCGATCCGGAGATAGGTATCGTCTGTTTCACCCCATAGATGGACAATGCGCAATGTGCAAAAGGCACATGTATGATGCAAGCATTGCGCCGGAACGTGCACGAGCATGGATTTTTAGTTCGACTTTTTCTCATTTTATATAGTTTTTCACTATGTCTATAAAGTTTCAAAAAAAATTGAGAGGTGTCCTTTAGGGCTTTAGGCCATGGCCCAACACGAGGCCTTAAAAAAAAACATGCTCGCTGACGAGGTTGTTTTATTTGTTCGCTTTTCTACTGTACATTTTTAACAACACTCGTCAAGAAAAAGCAGAGAGTTTAATTACAAGTTGACATTTAACTGGTTGACCATTGACTTTTAGATAATGTTTCTTAAAGAATTAGGAATTCAAGAAAGTTTGCAAAAAAATCAAAAGGTTCACAGCATTCGAAGAAAGTTCATTGATTTGATAAAAAGTTCATTGATTTTGAAAATAAGTTCATCAATTTTGAAAAAAAAATCACAAATTCAAAAAAAGTTAATGGATTTTAAAAAACAGTTCATCGATTTAAAAAAAAGTTTATAAAAATGGATTTTAAAAAAATCGAAAAAAATTATTCTATTTTAGAAAGAAAAACAGAAAATCTAAAAAAGTCCATTGATTTTGAATAAACACATCAATTTTGAAAGAAGTTCATCAATTTTAAGAAAAATTCACCAATTTTGAAAGAAAGTCCACTAACTTGAAAAAGAATCACCGTTTTCGAAAAAATCATGAATTTTAAAAAGTTCTTGAATTTATGAAAAGTAAAATAAAACTAAAAACTAAAAACCAAATAGGAAAGACTGCACTTTTTTCCAGTGCCGTATTTTAAGAAATTGAAAAAATGAATCTAGCACGTGAGGTCAGGTTGCCCAGTTTGTTAGCGTGGCCGACTAAATCTGAAGGAGTGCGATTCGAATCCTGTGGGACACAACTTTTCTGTCGTTTTAAAAAAAAGGGAGTGCTACCCGTCTGCTGGTAGATCAATTGAAAACATCAACCGCCTCCCGAGCCACTGGATTGAGCCACATATAGTCGTCAGATCTCCCCGAAAGCGTTTTGTTTGCCTTTTTTTCGCCTTCACCTCTTTTGCAACGTAGATGATGTCGCGGGAGGGTTTTTGCAACATAGGGAGTGTTGCGAGATTTTGTTTTCGTCTTTACATTTTGCAACATAGATGATGTTTTTTTTTTGCGAGAGGCAACATAGATGATTTTGCGGGAGGACTTTTGCAACATAGGCGGTGTTGCAGGATTTTTTTTTCATATTTACAGTTTTGCAACATAGATGATGTTGGGGGAGGACTTTTGCATGAATGATGTTGCGAAGATTTTTCACCGAAAATGATGATGTCGTATGCGGTGTCAATCGAGAAATTTATGCAACAAAGATGATGTTGCGGGAGGTCTTCTGCAACAAGGTTCTTGTTCCGAAAAGTATAAAATGCATCACCAGCCAGAGCGATGACGGAGGACAAGACGGGAGGCTGGGGCGGCGCAGCTGGGCCGATGGTGGCTAGAGCGGTGCTCGGGCATGCGCACTCGAGTGACGGCCATGGCTGCAAGCAAGCATAAAGAGATTGGGAAGGAGATGCAAAGCTTGTGATGTTTCTAGAGAAGGGGCACGTGCTACTTCGAACCACGAGGACATGTGTCTACCGATGGAGAAGATCGATGCAATAGTACCATCCGCCGGCTGATGGGAATAGTTTTTCTTTAAAAATACAAAGAAAAGAGATGGGATGGGCCGGCCCAGCACGGGAGGGTGTGTCTTCCCGTTTGTAAAATACAAAGTAACGGGTTCCTGAAGCGCCAAATAGGAAACACCCTATGTGCCACGCGCTGCGATGCCTATCTAGGCATGGCTCGCGTGCACGAGGTGGAACAGGACCAACCCAGTAACCAACATCCATGCCGTGCTGGCATCATGATGACATCATGTGAGTTTTTCTTGTTTCTCCTTCACATTTTATTTTCTTTATTCGTTTTATTACTTTTTATATTACAAAATACTCTAACTACTCCCTCCTTTCCTAAATATAAGTCTTTCGAGAGATTTCACGATTAACCACATATGGATGTATGTAGATGCATTTTAGAGTGTAGATTCACTCATTTTGCTCCGTATGTAGTTCATAGTGAAATCTCTACAAAGACTTATATTTAGGAACGGAGGGAGTATATAAATATTACAAAAACACTTCCATTAAAATTTCAAAATATTGATCTTGTATAAAAACTATTAAACATGTATCAGAAAATGTTTCTTATGTGTACTAAATGTACTAAATATAAATATAAAGAATAGGAAGTGTTAATTAGGTATACGAAACATGTTAATCATATTTATGAAAAGACATTATGACATTAAATAAATGTCAAAAAATTCAAAAACAATATATGTCACATTTAGGAAAACTTCACTTGTTTTAAAACTTTGCTCGTCTTATTTTCAAAATTTATTTGTACAATGTACAAAAATGTTTTCATAGTTCAAAAAAATCAACATCTATTTGAAAAATAATATTTAAAGATATTTGGAAAAAATTTAAACATGTATTTGCACTTTTTTAAACGTGTCTAATATATGTTTTATATGTGTGCAAAAATGTACAATATGCATGAAGAAGTAGAAATGTATTGACAAAGAAATAGAAAAACCTGAAAACCCCAAGAAAGAAACAAAGAAAATCATAGTATAAAGAAAAAAAAAACCAAAGAAAACCATAAAAAAAACCTAACAAATAAAAAAAAATCCAATGAATGGGAAAAAACAAAGAGAACCAGCGAAAAACAACAGAAGAAAAAATGAAAAAAACGGAGTTAACTGATCAGACACAGTGACAAGAGGCGGGCGAGCGAAGGCATCGAGTGACATAAGGCGGCCCGTATCATCCTCTGTAGGTGATTCCCATTAGAAATCAGTAAGGGCGAGACAAAGCCCTTATAGTTGGACTTGACCTTCTTCGAAAGTCCTTCCTTCAGTAGGTCGTCAGATTCGGCCATTAGCTCAGTTCAACCAATGGCTTAACGAGGGGGACTACTT